ACATATATATAAATCAGGATATTAATAGACAAATTTATTTTACTAATTTATATTTTTTTAGAAAATACTAATATTAAATCTGGATAAATTTAACATGCTAGTTTCGAAAAAAACACACAAACCGAAATAGAACACATTCAAATAAAATAATATACATTATTATAAATATTTCAACTTAAAATAAATCGAAATACCTCGGTTTAGAATTGTCGGAAAGCAAAAAGATAGAAATTTTGACTCCGGAAGTGTGAATCAACAATAACACGAAGCTCTCCTCGAATGTGAGACCTACGTTCTTCGAGTTTTATGTGTCGGGGGACCCATTTTTTTTTTTTTTAAGAAACGGGCAGAATCAGTGGGGGACCAAGAAGATGGGAAGAGTTTTAAAATAATAGTGAATGGATGAATTGGAGAAGAAGACGGAGGGGTATAAAATATTTATGTATAGCGCCACTATACATGGCGCTATACATTAATGATGTATATATAGCGCCAGGTATTGTGGCACTATACCTGGCCATATCAGCTTTTACAGTATAACGCCACAATACCTGACGCTATACCTTAACGGTGCCGTTACTATTAGTATATAGCGCCAGATATTATGACGCTATATATAAAAAAGCCATTTTTTTTACCACCTTTGAGTCCAAAAAACAAACATTTTGGTTCCGTACTCCCCACGCACCCCCTCAACTTTGTCACCACCCCTCCTGAACAAAACACTTCTCTATGTTTATCAGTCAACAACGAGACAACTTACAGGTACAAGAATACAAGTACAAGTTGAGCGATTGAAGATCTGCAAAAGCTGGCTTCTTCTCTGCATCCTAGGGTTTTATTCTCCTTCTTGTCAATGTAAGCTCTAAACTTCCATTCAGCATGTATGCTTTTCTATGTGTCAATTATCTCTCTGTTTGCCAAATATTGGATAGAGAGAAAAAGGAATACACAATAAAAAGGAAGAGGGAGTGGGGGTTTAGGATTGTGTGGGGGCACTGAAGAAAGAACGAACCTCAATAAATGACATGGGATATGTGAAAAAGAGAGGGAATTTGTTCCTCAAAACTCTAATTCCAATTACTTAATAAGTTTACACAAATAGAGAAAGCATAACACTAACACAAATCTCTAGATATAGTTGAAGGATCTTGACCAAAATTATATTAAGCTAACAAGAAAGTGGTGAATTTTGTAATAATTACATATTTTTCATTTTATAATTACATCAAAATTTTAAGAGTATTGCTGATAAAATTTCTTTTTTTATTTCATTGAATTTTCCTCGCCTTTATCTTATATGCCAAATATGTCTATTAATCTTGTAGAACGGATTATATTTGGGGATTGGGTTTGATTTTGAAAGAAAGAAGATCTTTTTTAATAGCATAAATGATCAATCGGTTTGGAGAACAGATTGTTTTAGGGATCAGATTTGACTTTGAAACAGAGACTTCATTTGAAGAGAGAGACAAACAATATAAAAAGAAAACTAAAAGGCAAAAATACATATAAAAAACAAAAGAAGGCTCTGCAATCAGATACATCCATGTAGAAGGGTATGTTCCACAGCAGTAATAAATTTCACATAGGTAAACATGTTATAATTGACAGACGTGCTCATGCAGTGGGCTTGTGGAAGCCCATTTGAAACATTTGAAGTACATAGACTTGCTTGCTCTAGGAACAAAGCTGCAGATGATTTTCGCTCTTTCACTTGCTCATGTAAAGGGATATATTTATATTGAGGCGCACAAACAATCTATGTCTACGATATCATGACATTCTTATGTCTTGAATTGGCATTGATGCTTATGTGGAAGTCTGATCATTCGTAAGTGACACTCTTTTCTTGATGAAAGCATTATCTAATGACATTTTATATTCTCTAAGCAGAGCTCCTTGTATAGGCGTGTAAAGGCCTTTTTAGTATATATTCAAGTGAGTGGCACATGTTCCAAATAATGATATTTCTCGTTTGATTGCTGTCTGAAGCAAGTGTTCTGGGATTTCTGAGGGTATGTGGGCACGTATCAAAAATGGAATATACAAGGGAGATCTGGCGCAGGTACTTTTTGTTCCATCAGCTAGCTGCTATTTATATTTCTCTTATCACACATGTAAATGCAATATGAATTTTCTGCTGGTTAATACTGCTTACTGACCTCTCTTTATTTGTCTGAAATATTAAACAACAATAACGAAGCACCTTCTTTTTAGTGCTTGCTAACTGTTTCATCATGGTCATGTAGGTTGTGGCAGTGAATGATTCACGGAAGAAAGTGACGGTGAAGCTGATTCCAAGAATAGACTTACAAGCCATTGCCAACAAATTTGTAACAATTTATACTCGATTTCATAAATATTTTATGTTTTAGTTAATGTGAATTACTCTGTAAATATGAAGATATGAAGCATAACGCCATACTCCCTGCTACTCTTCACCTCCCCATCATGAAAAAGAAAAAAAAGAAAAAACAAAAATTTGTGTTAGGGAGGGAGGGAGGGACAGTGCAGGTCATAATTTCTGGTTAATTGTGCTTTGGGTTATTTTGACCTCAAATTTCTTAAAGTAATGCATATCTGTTTGGAGTTGTTAGTCTTGTGCATTCATACTTATTGGAGGTTGTGATTTTAGTGTTTCCTATACTGCACGGCGTAGGTTTTTTTACTTGTTTGTATAGTATTACAATGTTAGACCGAAGCACTGTACTTCCTCTTCTTTTTGTTTTAAATGTTGACTCCTATGATCTATTGGTACTTCTGCTTGACATTGACTAAGCACTTGAAGTATTAGCTAATTATGCATTTCGCAATCCAGGTTTAACATTTTATTAATATATTTTTATTTAAATTTAGGATTATATATCTTCTGCAGTCCACTACAGTAATGCTGGTTATCATCTTTGCTGATTAAAAAAATTGCTGCTTATCATCCTCAATACAATTATAATTATGACTAGTCTTCTTAAATACATTTATCCAGAGGCACTGATTCATTGAGCTATTGGGGTGTAATGCCTATTGAAGTTGAACTCCTGAAGTTTGAACCTTCTAAAAGTGATGGACCCTAAGATGTAGAGTGGCTTACCCAGCTTTATGTGACCGGAAGAAAAAGAGAATCATAAATGGTTTGAAGGTTGTTCAGAAAGGAGGTGAGAAAGGAGAGGGTTCTTCAAGCTCTAGCATGGAAAATAATTTCAAAGTAGATGATCTTGTATTTTTTGGGTAGGTTTGTCTCTTATTGTTTACCAATGTGGAATCTGCACCCTGTATTTATCATTTTTGTTTAATCATTTTTCTATGATATTACAGTAGGAATGATTTAGGCATTATTATTGGCAAGGAGAAAGATGATATCTTTAAGGTATATGCAAGTCTATTGGCTTTATTTTTCTTTGGGTAAATAATGTCTTATTTAAAGCGATTATTTTTCAGATCATGAAAGATGGTTCAGAGAGACCTGTGATAGTGAGCATTCAACTGCGTGAGTTGAAGCGTGCGTCTTTTGATAGGAAGCTATTCACTGTGAAAGATCAACTGACCAATACCATCTCAGTTGGTGATATGGTTAGAGTTTTGGATGGTCCCTTGAAGGTTTGACTGTTATTCATCTTTTATTTTTATTTATTTGATCATGATTGTAACCAAGTCAGCTTGTACATACCTTGACTAATCCCCCGGCGACTTGCTATTTCCTTCTGCTTCCCACTAAAGGTTAGGTAGATGTGAATAATTTACTAGTGCTTTTACTGGCATTTGTAACCTTGGTTCCCAAGGCTTTTACTCCAGCTGTTTGACCACTAGGTCAGCCCTTGGAACGTTTGACTGTTATTCATGAAAGCAGTAACATCTTTTTATCTGTTAATTAGTCTTCTGAAATTATGTAATGTAGGGTTAATAAATGCATGATAGACAAGGAATTGTTAAGCAGATCTATAAAGGAGTCGTCTTTCTATATGACCAATGAGAGTAGGATAATAGTGGTTATCTCTATGTCAAAGGTTGGATGTGTGAAAAAATTACAGGCAGTGATGGTGTATCCGAGGAGAAGGTTTGTACATTTGGGGACATATTAGAACTAATCTTATTCTTATGATACCCATATTTGTTCCCCCATTTTTTTGCGTGCTTGTTCTATTTAATCAGGGAAGTGAGCAAGGCTCCTCAGGTTTTGCAAATTTCTCATCATCCCCTAAATCCCCTCTTTCGCCTGAGAAATCTTGGAGAGTGAAGGATGATAACTGCAGCGGTATGTTTTTTATTAGTCTGTTCTTAAATCCTATCTTTCTATTTGATGTCTCAATTCAAGCCACTGCTCCCAATTCAAATATTTATTCCTTTAACTTCTGTTCCTTTTTCCTCAAACAGTCAAGCATGATGATAAAGATGAAATGTGTTCCGTTGGCCAGTGTCTAAGAATCCGAGTGGGGCCTTTGAAAGGGATATATTTGTCGTGTATTAGCCATTTGACGTTCTGATGTTACAGTAAAGCTTGATTCCCTGCAAAAAATTCTTACAGGTTTGTACATTTCCTTGCATCGACTTTTAATGTTATACGGTAAATTGTCACTATACATTCTGTCAATGTAGTTAAATCTGAACACCTGGCAGAAGTTCATGGGAAGAGTTCTGTCACATCTCTTTGGTACAATTTCTTTACCTGAATAAATAAAAGGAGATGTTTTCAATTTTCTCTTTTATAAGTTGCATTTAGTCGTGATTCCAATAATATTTATGTGACCAAGAGAAGATTAGCAACGAACTGGTTAATAAGCACCAGCACCAATCATAATACTTGAAAGTTGGATGTTCCTTTTCTTAAGACAGATCTATATCTAACTCAAGATTTTAACTTTACTCTTATGACACACTAAAGTATAGAAGGGAAAGTAATGTAAGAGATTCTTTATTCTTATGACACACTAAAGTAAAGAGGGCAAAGTTATGCAAGTGGAGCCAAAAGATATAGAAAGAACATTATGGGATAAAAAGTTCTCCCAAATTACTAAGGTGAACTGGGAGAACTATTTTTTTTTTTTTTTTTTTAAATAAGGTAAAGCAAATTTTACTAATAAAGTACCAAGCAGGTACTTCAAAAGTGTAGGTGAACTGGCAGAATATGGTTTATCACTCATCCAATTTCCCTTTTATTGCTTTTCCAGGAAAAATATTGACTACAAGAGATTTATAGGACCAAATCAGAAACTATTCAGTAAACTAAGAATGGTTTTACATTCATTATTCTCGACACCATTTAGTTACACCTACTTCCCCATTAGGTCCTTCCCGAAAAGTTTAACCTATTTCCTTAAATGGAAATATATTTTCTCCCTCCAAAAGTTCCAAATTAATATAAACTATTATTACTTTATATTATTTCCAACTTGATGTGACATCTGTTCGACAAATTTAATACTTCAAATCATTATTCAAACATTATACTACTCACATCAACATAATAATCTATTTAAACATCTTACACTAAAGCTCTGCACAAGTCAAAACGACTCTAACTTGTATAGGGAAGGAAGGAGGTGATTCACTTCTTCCTCATTTCTCACACGTGGAGCTTCTGCTGCACAACACTATTCCGGTCCTTTGTAATTTTGATTGTGTCAAACATGCTCATGTGCAGTTATCCAACAATAATTGCCCACCTTAACTGATGCTTTGCTCTTCCATATTATCTACCAAGGCCAATGCACTACAGTATTCTGCCTGTTGCACAATCTTTTGTATCTAGACTTAACGGTGCATTTCGATCCCTTTGATATTCTCATTAGTCATTTAACTGCAGCTTCTTCCTCTAGAGATATTCTGGCCCCTTCTATTTTCCCAGCAGATTGGTGACTTTCCCTATTCCCAATCTTCACAGTTTCTCCTAATAGATAATTCCCATCCTCTATGTAATGTTGTGTCACTCTTGCTTTAGTATTTACTGCCAAATTATATTGGGGCGATATCTTGTGCCAAATTTTTATCCTCATGCCATTACCAATTGGGAAGTGTATGTTTTTTAATAATCATCTCAGATGTTTCAAATGCGCTTCCACAAGCCCACTCCATGAGCACGCCTGTCAATTACAACATGTTTACCTATGTGAAATTTATTACTGCTGTGGAACATACCCTTCTACATGGATGTATCAGATTGCAGAGCCTCTTTTTTTTTTTAAATGTATTTTTGCGTTTTAGTTTTCTTTTTATATTGTGTGTCCTGTACTGATTAATCGGTTCAATGTTTTCATTGAGACTTGATTTGAAGTTATTATCGACTCTTTCTCAAAAGTTTATTTATGATTTTTTGTCTCAATCGCTAGTCCCCATTATGTGTAGAATTGCATGAAGCTCTATATTGGATTTGCTTCCCAGAACATGACATTTCGTTGTGCAAGTTTTATTATAACTAGGATTGTGTGATTCAGAACTATCATCAGTCTTCTCATCATTGTCCGAGAACATAGGAAATATAATGCGTCATTTTTCTACTATAATATTGTCTACTGTTATGTCATCTGATGATTGTATTATTCACTGTGGCGATCAATGCAGCCTTTAATGAATCTGATCTTCTTTAATTACTTGTTCTTTTTACTAAACTAACATAAACTTATTGTTTTAACAGATCAAAAACATGAAGTCCGAAGAACCTATTCTTGAAGAAAGTGCATAGCAAGTTGAAGAACAAGAGAATTTTGTTATTGTGATGACCCAAAAGGTCATCATTCGTTTTGAAAGTAAATTCTATATTTCGAGGCTTTAAAAAGCTTTTTGTCTCACCTCGATTTGCGTATGTAGTCCGGACACATTTCCGAAAAGCTTTTATGTGAAATCTAAGTAAAATAAGGAATTTGGCCTTTAAAATTTATTAAAGTTGACTTTGGTCAACATTCTTGGTAAACGAACCTAGACCCGTGATCAGACGATCCTGTAGGATTCGTAGTAAAATATGGGACTTGGGCGTATGACCGGAATCGAATTCCGAGATTCCAAGCCCGAGAAAAGAATTTTTAAAGAAAATTATTTGCTGAAAAAATATAAAGGCCTTTAGAAGTGAATTGATGCAATTTCTTGATGGTATTGGACCCGTATCTTGGTTCCAGAGCCCGGTACAAGTTTAAAATAATAATTTGGTTGAATATGTGGAATTTGGTAAGAATCGGAGTTAGTTTGTTATAAAACGGACCTATAGTTGAGAAAATAGAAATTTCAATGTTCGTGAGTGATTTCAAGAATTTGCGGTTTAATTCATAGTTGTTGATGTTATTTTAACGATTTGATCGCACGAGCAAGTCCGTATGATATTTTTAGACTTCCATGCATGGTTGGGTTGGAGCTCCGAGAGCTCAGGTGAATTTTGGATAGACTACAGTGTATTTGGACTTAGGAAAATTGTTGCAGGATTGCAGGTCTGGTGTTGGCCTCTGGTCTCACAATTGCGATCAGGGATTGCAATTGCGAAGTTTGATAGCTTGGGAATGGGTTGTTCACAATTGCGAAGTAAGCCCTGTCCAGCCTTGCTCGCATTTGCCAGCATTTCTTCGCAAATGCGAAGCCCTCAGAAAATCCTAGTAGTCGCAATTGCGAAGATGGCAGAAATTGTTAGGGGTCGCAAATGCGACAGTTTCTTCGCATTTGCGAAAGCAGTAGATTTTTCACAGGGTTCGCAATTGCGAATCCCTAGTCGCAATTGTGACATCTGCACCTGATAAGTGTGATTTCAGATGGGATTTTATCCATTTTTACAACTCTTCAAATCCTAAAACATCTTTGGGCGATTTTTCAAAGGCACAAACTCTTCCAAATCATTGGTAAGTCATTTCTAACACATTTCTTTCAATCTAATCCAACTTTTAACAAGATTTCATCACAAAATCTAGGGATTTTCATGGGAATTTGGGCGTTTTTGGGTAGGAATTAGGAGTATCAATTTTTGGGGATTTGGACCTCGATTTGAGGTTCGATTTCAAAACAAATTATATATTTGAATTCGTGGGTGGATGAGTGATCGGGCTTTGGTTCGATGTTCGGGTTTTGAACAAGCGGGCCCTGGAGGGATTTTTGACTTTTTGGGCAAATCATTAAAAAACCTATTTTCATGCATTAGAATTGGTTCATTTAGCATTTATTGATATCGTTAAGTAAATTGTGACTAGATACAAGCGAATTGGAAGTGGAATCGAGAGGTAAAGTGGTAGTTGGGGCTTGATTGTGTTCGTGGCGTTGAGATAAGTGTTTGGTCTAACCTTAGCTTGAGGGAATATGAGTTGTGGTCTTAATTGCTATGTGTTAAGTGTTGAGTACGACGTATAGGTGTGGTGACGAGTATCTATACGTTGGTGTCAAGCATGCCCGTGAGTCTTATACTATGATTGTTGTGACTCCATTATGTATTGTCCATGCTTAATGTGATGATTTTGAATGTTGAACAAGGCTTATGAATGTATTCTTAGTAATTGACCATTGTGGACCATTGACTCAAGTTGAGACTTAGGTTGTGAAGTGATTGTGGAAACGAGATGAAATATATTGTTGATTCCCTTGCCGGGATGTTATTGTTTATGATATTGTTTTCCCTTGCCGAGATGTTATCGTTATGATATTGTCTCCCTTGCTTAGATGTTATTGCTTATGATATTTTTTCTTTGCCGGGATATTGTTGTTATATTATTGTTCCCTTGCCTGGATCTTTTGTGATTGGTGTTGAATTGTACATTGGGATCGGGTTGCACGCCACAATAATATTATATGGGATCGGGTTGCACGCCGCAACAAAGAGTAATAAGGGAGGACAGGTGGGGTCGGGTTGCACGCCGCAACATCATTACATGATTTGGGATCGGATTGCACGCTCCAACAATATTATGTAATTGGGATCGGGTTGCACGCCACAACAATATTATATGATTGGGATCGGGTTGCACGCCGCAACAAGAAAGAATAAAAGTGAATATTGGTACGTTACTGATTTCCTTATTCTTGCTGATATGAAATTATGGCGTTCTTTATGCTTCTCTACTAAAATTTCGTTAGAACTTGATATTCACCGCAACATGTTCCCCATTCCCATCTTTAACTGCTAGTTTCTGTTAGCATTTTTTTTCCGTATATGATTTAACTGCACAGGTTTAATTGGTAGTCTTCTCCTAACCTCGTCGCTACTTTGTCGAGGTTAGGCTCGACACTTACTAGCACATGGGGTCGGTTGTGCTGATACTACACTTTGCACTCTTTTGTGCAGATCCCAGTACTGGAGCATTCAGACCTTAGCTAGGGGTTGTTGCCTTCAGTCCATTGGAGACCCGAGGTAGTCCTGCAAGCGTCCACAGGCCCTGGCGTCCCCTTCCTATCTTGTTGCTTTTTGTTCTTTTCTATTTTAGAGACAAACATGTACTTTCTTTGTTCAGACTTTATTTGTAGTAATCCCAGATGGTCCGTTAGATCGTGACATCAGTTCTGGGTGAATTTTTATTATGGATTTGTATTAAGTTAAATTATTAGATTTTGTCTTCCGCATTTCTTTATTTATTATTATTCCGTTGTTGATCACATGTTAATTTGAAATTGTTAAAAAGTTAAGGAAAAAGGGTAATAAAATCTGTAATGCTTGGCTTGCTTAGCTTTCACGAGTAAGCGCCTTCACGAATCTCGAGGGTGGAAAATTTTAGTATCAGAGCTCTAGGTTGCTTAAGTCTCACAATTCACGGTCAAACTTAGTAGAGTCTGAGGGGTCGGCACGGAGACGTCTGTGTTTATCCCCAGAGGCTACAGAGTTAGGAAAAATTTCACATCTATTCTTTCGTGTCGTGCGACTTGGTTTCTCAATGCTAATTGAACTTCCACTCTGTTTTTTCGAGATGGTGAGAACACGTACTGCTTCATCAGCTGACCAGCAGCCTGAGTCCCCAGTAGCATCTCCTGCGAGGGGCAGAGGCCGAGGCCGTGCTAGGGCCCGAGGTAGAGGCAGAGCTCAGCCCAGAGCTCGAGCAGCAGCACCAGCGGCGGAGCCTCAGGTTGAGTTTTACGATGAGGTTCCAACCCAGACAGTTCTAGCAGGACCAGCTCAGGTCCCAGAGGGGTTCATCGCCACCCCGGTACTCAGGATGGTCTAGTCTGTCTAGTGGGCCTTATGAGAGCGTCACTCAGGCAGACATATTTCCTGTAACACCAACTGTCTCTCATGTTGGAGGAGGAGCCTAGACTCCTGCTACTCGTACTCCGGAGCAAATGACTCCCTATTTTCAGACTCCAGCAGCTCAGTCAGTTGGAGTAGTTTAGCCGGGTGTTGTGGCACAGACGGTGAGGGGCCAGTTATGTCTGCTGATGCCTTGTGGAGGTTGGACAGGTTCACCAAATTTTTTACTACCACTTTTGGCAGTACATCTTCTGAGGATCCCCAGGATTATTTGGACAGCTGTCATGAGGTTCTACAGAACATGGGGATAATGGAGACCAATGGGGTCGACTTTGTTGCCTTTCGTCTGTCTGGATCCGCCAAGACTTGGTGGAGGGATTATTGTTTGGCTAGACTAGCTGGGTCACCTGCTTTGACTTGGGATCAGTTTTCTTAGCTATTTCTGGAGAAGTTTTTTCCAGTCACTTAGAGGGAGAACTATCGGAGGCAGTTTGAGCGTCTCCAGCAGGGTTCTATGACCGTCACTCAGTATGAGACCAAATTTATTGACTTAGCCCGTCATGCTCTTCTGATACTTCCCACCAAGAAAGAGAGAGTGAGGAGGTTCATTGATGGACTCATTCAGCCTATTCGATTGCATATGGCTAAGGAAACGCGGAGCGAGATTTCTTTTCAGGATGCAACCAATGTGGCCAGGAGAGCGAGATGGTTTTATCATAGGGGAGTGGTCACAGGTTTGACAAGAGGCCCCGTCATTCTGGTAGGTTAAGTGACGCCTCGTCTGGAGGCAGGATTCTTTTGGTAGGGGCCATCCTTCCAGGACATTTCATTCAGTACTACAGGCTTCTCACGGTGCTCCAAGTGGGCGTGGTTCTTATGTACCTCCTTCAGGATAGCCAGTTCCTATCAGAGCACTTCTTCTTCAGAGCTATCATCATGGTCAGCTGGCCCGCCAGGGTCAGTTTCCTCAGCCGCAACACTCAGGTGGATGTTTTGAGTGTGGTGAGTATGGTCATATTCGGAGGGCTTGTTCGAGATTAGTGGATGTTCAGTCGTAGCATCAGGGTTCCCGTGCCATGGTTCAGGCACCGAGTGTTCCACCGCTCGCTTAGCCAGCTAGAGGTGGAGGTAAAGGTGCTAGAGGTAGAAGTAGAGGTATTAGAGGTGGAGGTCAGGCCGCTAGAGGTGGAGGCCAACCAGTAGGAGGCCGCCCCAGAGATGTAGTTCAGAGTGGTGGGGCCTAGCCCCGATGTTATGCTCTTCCAACCAGGCCTGAGGTCGAGGTCTGCGATGCAGTTATTACAGGTACTGTTCTGGTTTGTAGAAATGCTTCAGTTCTGTTTGATCCAGGATCTATATACTCATATGTGTCATCTTATTTTGTGCCGTATTTGGTCATGCCTAGTGATTCTTTGAGTACCCCTATATATGTGTCTACATCGGTGGTTGATTCTATTGTGGTAGATTGTGTCTATCGTTCATGTATAGTTGTGATTGGGGGTCTTGAGACCCGAGTAGATCTGTTACTTTTGGATATGGTCGATTTTGATGTCATATTGGGGATGAACTAGTTATCACCTCACCACGCTATCTTGGATTGTCATGCCAAGACTGTGACCTTAGCCTTGCCGGGGTTGCGTCGTT